TCTGCCCAGCTGAGCTCTGGCCATATAGTAGCAGACAAGGCCAGGCAGGTGGGCTGAGACGTCTGCCTCCCTGCTCAGCACATTCAGTTCAGAACAGCGCCAGTCCCTGGACACCAGCCACACACAGAGACTCGGGCCGTGTGGCCAGAGGCTGGTGTTGATGCTGCTGTGTGCTCCTCTCCCCTGATTTATGCCATGTGGTGGGGCCTTTCCCTGCACGATTTATGACCACCTGTCCCGAGAAGGGCATAAATCACTGGGCCATGGCACTTTAAATCTCAGGGAGAGATAGGAGAAGACACCTAGGCTGGCTGTACTGTCTCCTCCGGGTATTAGGAGCAATTAGGGCAGGACGGCTGGGCTGTACGAAGCCTGCAGAAGATCAGAGGGTGGGGATGGGCTCCTGTGATTCCCCCCTTCCTGCCTTCGCTCTGCGTTTGGGGTCCATCCATTACTCTCCTTCTATAAACACAGCCTCCCGAGGAAGGGGCGCTGACGATGGAAAGAACCAGCCCCCACACTCCGAGTGCTTTGAGGACGCCATTTCTGCAAGGCAAGCCTTCCAAATCCAGAAGGAAAGGAAGTCTGACGCCAATCACTGCAGGACGGGCAGCGATCAAGACATAGAAGAAAGGAGGACAACCAGAGTCCCAGGTCACCTGTTCTGCCCTCACACAGATTGGAGTTATAGGGCTGCAGGATTCAAAGCTACTCGGGAAGCTGAGGCAGGAGAATCACAAGTTCAAGGCTTACCTGGGCTACAGAGTTCAAGGCCAGCCTGGGTCTCAGTGAGACCCTGTCTCAAAACAAAAAACCTCGGTCTTGGAGCTGGAGAGGTGGTTCAGTGGTTGGGTTCCCAGCTTCCACATAGCAGCTTACAACCACCTCCAGTTCCAGGGAATCCAATGCCCTCTTCTGGCCACCTTGGGCAACGCATGCGCATGGTGCACTTGCAGCAGACAAAAACACTCATAAAATACAAATTTTTTAAAATTTAAGTAAAAGTGGCTGGAGACAGTTCAATGGTAGACAAGTTTGCCTAGGATGCACAAAGCTCTGGATTCCATCTCCAGCACCCCAAAGAAAGAACAGCCAGGGTCTGGATGAAGTGTGCTTGCTGTTGGGCACACCTCAATGGCCTGGTCTCTGGACCCCAGGCCAGGGCTCTTTCTACTGTCCACCTTGCCCCTCTCCTTTCTCTAGCATCTTTGTTGCCATAGAAACAAGAAGACTGGATTCTGGATTGTTCTGATACGAGTGAAGGCAAACAAGCACTAGACTGTCACTGTTTCTGCCCCCAAGCCTGTCCCTCTCCTGGTGTTCTGCCTTACATGGTGACACTGGCCCCGGTGTCTCACAGGAGCACCTCCCCCCAGCTCTCTGGGGATCCTTCTAAGACCTCCAGTGGACACATGAAACTGTGGGTCATATGAAAGCCTTGAAAAGCTGGCTTTTTTCTGTACACACACGCCTACAATAAAGTTTAGTTCACACGAGAGATTAACGAGAGATTAACAACAATATTGAATGATACAAACAACTTATCACTATTAAATTTGTTTTAAAAATTATGAATTTGAATAGGGAAGGAGGTATAAAGATGATTAAGATATTCTGTATGAAATACACAAAAATTCAATACAAATTTTTTTTCTAATTATGAATTGGGTCAGCAAGATGGCTCAATGGGTAAAAGCACTTGCTATCAAATCTGATGTTCTGAGTTCAATCCCCAGGACCCCCAGGACAGAAAAGAAAACCAGCTTTCACAAGTTGACCTCCACACACATGCACATGTAAAAATAAATGTAATAAAAATTATAAAAATAAAGAATAATTTAAAAATAAGTTGTGAATTTGTTTTTGGAATTACCCTTTAATGTTTTCAAACCATAGCTGACCATAGAAAATAAAAACACACACAAGGGGGACTGCTGTATTATGAAAATTCTTAGGCAGATAAAAGCTTACAGTGGACATGAGCAACTGCTTCAATTCTACACTTGGCATTTTACTGTCTCTCTTTCTCTCTCTCTCTCTCTCTCTCTCTCTCTCTCTCTCTCTCTCCTCTCTCCCCCTTCCTCCCTCCCTCTCAATTTTTACATACACATTACATTTAATATTTTACTGTGTATTTCTGCCCTCTTTTCTCTCTCTCCCTCTTACGCACACACACGCACACACAGCAATCCTTTGGGGTTTTTCTACTTGTTTTCATGTTTTACATTTTAAAATGTGTTAGGCAGTTTTAGACCCTATGACAAAATTCCTGTGATGATCAACTTACAAAACAGAAAAGGTTTATTTTGGCTGATTGTTCTTATTCATGTGCATAGACACATATATGGTCATACAAACTCAAATAAAAAGAAAAAAATAAATTCTACATGTTATTTTAAAATTAATCTCATCTCAACCCCCTTTATACAGTTATTTTGGCAATACTGAGGATTGAACCCAGAGTCTTATGCATGCTAAGCAAGTATTCTAAAATCAAGTTACATCCCAGGCTTTTTTATGCCATTTTAAATTATTCTCTCCAATTTTGTTTTTTGCTTAAAATTTTTCTTCTGAAATTTTGAAGTAAACATAAAAATAGAGTAACGCCGAGGGCACCCAAATGATTACCGTATAGATTATATTTCTCTAGACTCTGACGCACTTTTTCAAATATTAATGCATTTGTTTTTTGTTAAAATTTAACAGACCCAGGCATTGAGCCACTTTATCCACTATATGCACTATAAGAAACATCTCTGCAATACACTGACATTTCTCTTTTAAAATTTTTATTACGTTTATTTATATGTGTATGTGTGCGTGTGTATGCCTGTGTTCTAGTTTGCTTTTAATTGCTGTGACAAAACACTCTGACCCATAACTACTTGGGGAGGAAAGGCTTATCTCCCAGGTCACAGTTCATCACTGAGAGAGCCCAAGGTTGGAACTCAGGGCAGGAACCTGGAAGCGGGAGCTGGAGCACAGGCCATGGAGGAATGCTGCTTACTGGCTTGCTCCTCTGACCCATGCTCAGCCTGCTTTCTTATACAATACAGGAACCACCTGCCGGGGTGGCACCGCCCACAGTGGGTTGGGCCCTCACACATCACTCAAAAATCAAGAAAATGCCCCACAGACAGGGCCACAGGCCAGTCCAATGGAGGCATTTCCCCAATTGAGGCTCCCGCTACCCAGGTGTGTCAAGTTGACAACTAAAGCTATCCAGCACAGCCTGCATGCATGCCACATCGGTCATGTGACGGCCAGAGGCCAACTGGCCAAAGTTGGTTCTCTCCTTTCTCTATGTGGGTCCCAGGGACTGAGTTCAGCTCAGCAAGATCAGTGGTACCTTCAGCAGCTGAGCCACCAGCCTACCATTTCCTACATTGTGGCATTACCATGCCAACATTACAGTTATACCTGAATAAACAGCCCGACTCTTAACTTGAGTTGTAAGAGTGGGTTTACACTCAGAGGGCACATGTTCCCACAGGTGTCTCTTGGAACAGTGCTGCTGAGGCAGGCCCCACCCATAATTTTATTCAAAGCCATTCCTCCAGCTTCATTTGGGGAACTGTAAGCTTGGATCCACCCTTTTCAGACAATGTTGCCCTTTTATTCCTAGGCTTAAAACATCTCTCTCTTTCTCTCTCTCTCTCTCTCTCTCTCTCTCTCTCTCTCTCTCTCTCTCTCTCACACACACACACACACACACACACACACACACACACACGGTCAAGCATTCTTTTCAATCTTCAATGTTTTCAATGAAAACATGAATAGGAATACACTTTCTTCTGAGGCTTTGATTTGCTAATTCAAGCACATTGACTGTCTAGAGCAAAGTGTGGTTCCAAGCAATCAAGGTCAGGTCCCCATGTCACAAGAGCACATGGCTCAATGAGTTTGTTTGTCATAGCTTTTTGGTTTGTTAAAGAAAGTTCCAGAAAGAACTTCTGCATCTTGGACTGATCTTCCTACAAGGCTCATCAACTGACTAGCACTCCGGAGACTGTGGAGAGTCTGGAATGTTACAGATCCAGAGCCTATTCACAAATCATCTGGGGACATCTTTAACCCCATAAATAGCCACACCTTGCCTACCTCTGTTTCTGAATTAACACCCTTATGACTAATAAAATATACTAACTTGGCAGACCACCAGGTCTCACCAATCAAAAAGCTAACAATGTCATCAGATAGCATCTGAGACCTATAGTAGAAACCTGCCCCCCCCCTTTGCTGTGACCTGCCTACTGAATGTATCCAATATATTTGAAAGGTGTCTTGATTTATGACTTTTCTTTTTTTTTTTTTCCTGTTACTATAAAAATGCAATGTAACTGTTACCATGCCAGAACTGAAATTTGGTGTAACCTGAATCTGTGTTCCTGGGCCATGGTCACTCATATTTGGCTCCAGAATAAACTATCTCTTGCCCCCTTTGAGGTGAGAGTTATGCTTTTGCATCCACAGGTTGCAAGGTTAATTAAAAGTCATTAGATCAGCTAGGCCAGCCTGGTCTACATAGCAAATTCCAAGCCAGCCGGGGCTATAGGAAAACCCTATCTCAAAAAAAAAAAAAAAAAAAAAAAACCATTAGTCTCAGTTCTGCCCTGTCCATTTTGTAAGAATCATTCCTACACTGCATAAGCACAATATCATCAGGACACCTAGCAAATTGGTATTATCTAATACTTAGTCCATAATTACATCTGCCAAGCTATCTAAGCAATTTTTAAGTGGCTTATTTGTATCACAAATTCCAAATAAAAAATAATTTGTGCAAGCAGAAATTCTGGTACCCAAACCCAAATATTTCCCAACTACCTAACAGCCAGGACTCCCCAAAGCTCTACTACTGTGTGTGTATATGTGTGTGTGTGTGTGTGTGTGTGTGTGTGTGGTATTTTCACTATTCCTCCATACAAATAAGTGTTAAACATGGCTCCTATCCCAGACCCCTAGACCCCAGGGAGAGACCCATCCACCAGCTCTACCTTCTCAGTGTGTCCAAAGGTTCCTTCCTATTCATGACACCAGTGTCCGGGTCCACCGTGGTTAAAATGCACCTGGATACACACAGAGCATCACAGGAGGAACAAGGCACAGTGGCCGTGCGCCCCCATAGGGACAGGAAAGAGCCTCACCTGGAGCAAGCCATCACTCTTTTCAGTTCCACATCCCCAATGAGAAGCTCATTCCAGGAGTCCTAGAAGGGAAAGCACAAATTCCCATGAGCACCTGGGGCCCATACCTGTGCAAGTACTTCCCACAACATCATTCCATCAAAGGTGATTGGTCGTCTTTACCTCCCACAGCACACCTTTGGGCTCCCTTTCTGACTGTGCAAAGTCAGCCCCCTCTCCTCACAGAAACTTACCTTCCCAGGAGGCCTCCCTGACTGAGCCCACTCTGCTCCAAGCTGGGGGAGTAAGAGGGAACGGGGAGGGGGCAAATCTTTTGTGCATGCAGATTAAGAACCTTAAATCAGCTGGGCATGGGGGCTCACACCTGTAATCTCAGCACTCAGGAGGCTGGAGCAGGAGGATCACAAGTTTGAAGCCAGCCTGAGCTATATGGTGAGGCAATGTCTGAAAAAAACAAAGAGGACTGGGGATGTAGTTCAGTTGGCTGAGGCCCTAGGTTGGATCCCCAGCACTATATAACTGGGCCTCATGTCAAATGCCTTTAAGCCTTGGCACTTGGAAAGTGGAGGCAGGAGGATCAGAAGTTCAAGGCCAGCCTCAGCTACATAGCAAACGTGAGATCAGCCTGGGATACATGAGACCCTGTCTCCTAAAACAAACCCTAAGTCACTGTATAGCCTAGTGGCCTTATTTCCCATCCACCACCCTAGAGCACCTGAAGGGCTCCCAGCTCCAACAGAGGTGGTCCCTCAGGCACTGGCCTGTGGGTGTGGCCAGTAGAACCTGCTCCTCCAGGCCAATCAAGACAGTGGACTGAGCCCCTCAAATTAGTGGGAAACAGAGCATACATATATAAAAAAACAAAGACTGACTAATGAATATTCTTTTAAAAATAGTTCTAGGCTCAGATGATAAAGGCACTTGCCAACAAGCCTAATGACCCGAGTTCCATCCTCGGGACCTACATGATGGAAGGAGAGAACTGACTTCCAGAAGTTGTTCTCTGATCTACACACATCTGATCTACACACACACACACACACACACACACACACACACACACACACACACACGAGCGCATGTGTGCACGCAAATGTAAATAAATACATGTAATAAAAATTTAAAAATAAATACAATTAAAACTTCCGTGGGGTAAGTGAGGGTAACTGGGAGGCTAAAAGCAACCAAAGTATGCTAAACATGTGTCTAAATGCCACAGTGAAACCCATTATGTTGTAAAATTAATATACCCTAACATAAAGTGCTATCGGAAATCCAGAAAACTTGAAAAATAAAGCATTCCCACGTAACGTGTCCTGTGTTAGTTTAGCTGCAGACAATAACCATAGGAGTTTGGAGGAGCAAACAGGACAGACCCAGAGGCCAGTGTGGCCTGAGTCTGGTATATCTTGTGTTACAGGGCCTGTTTGCAGTTTGTAGAGCAGCAGCAGGCTGTGTCTGCTCAGAATAAGACAGAGGACAGAAGAGGGACGGAACCTGTCAGTTTGCTGTCATTGTCAACTTGACACACCTGGGAAGAACTAACCTCCACTGAGGAATTGCCCTCCAGGGTCTGGCCTGTGGGTGTGTAGGCGGGCATTTTCTGGATTGCTAATTGTTGCAAGAGAGCCCAGCCCACTGTGGGTGGCACCATCCCTAGGCAAGTGGGCCTCCGCCTTATGAAAACGGTGGCTGACCGTAAGTAAGCAGGTTCTTCTGTGGTCTCTGCTTCAAGCCTCCAGGTTCCTGCCTTTAGCTCCCGCCTCGGCTTTCCATCATGATGGACTCCCACCTGTAAGCCAGATAAACCCACTCCTCTCCCAGGTTGCTTTCGGTCAGCAGTCACCATTTCATCAAACGGAGAACCAAAGTAAAACAGGACCCCCAGCCAGGGAAAGAGAAAGTTAAAAGGTGTGGAGGAGTCGGGATGTGGCTCTGTGAGGAGCGCATGTTTAGCTCTGGCTTCCGTCCCCAGCACCAAAAAGAAAGTTACTAACTGAACAATCTGAAGGACAGGCAGGATACAGGTGGCAGGCCTCTCCTCCTTACCCCAGGGAAGGGTCTGGGCTGGTGAATGCTGGAGGCAAGTATCTGCAGTTAAAGAACTGCCCTTCAGTCTAGAGCTGAGCGCAGAGTTCCACATTCAGAATTCTAATTCCAATAATGAACATTATTCACGGTGTGTATGGCATGGTTTTTGTTCGGCTTGGCTTTGTTTTGTTTTAAACTGTAACGAAAGTCCATTCACAGACTTTCCCTACAGTCTCTAAAACTGAGCACTGAGTCCAGCAACCACAGACTGCGCTATGAGCATCTCTCCGCCAGGAGGCACTGTGGTCACAAAACGTAGACGGGAGAAATGAGTCTGGTTAGGAAATTCACTGTGAGTTAAGAGTTTTTCAAGAGTCCCTCCTAGGTGAAATAAAAGCTATTTGAAATGAGTCATAGTGAATCAAAATTAGAAATTCCTTGGTTGGCAAAGGGGTGGAAGAGAAGTTAACCACTCTAGTGAACTCACACGAGGCCTGGAGCTGTGTGGAACCCTGGATGGGCCCATGAGAGTCTTCCACCTGGAAACATAGCTGGTGATAGAAACCAAATGAGTCAGACCCAGAGCCCGTTGTGGCTTGTCTGACTGGCTATTATGTTACAGGTTCTGTTTACAGCTATAGAGCTTTTTGTTTGGTTTTTGGTTTTTTGGGTTTTTTTGTTGTTGTTGTTTGGTCTTTTTGAGACAGGGCTTCCCTGTAGCCCCAGCTGGCCTGGAACTCACTATGTAGACCAGGCTGGCCTCAAACTCACAGAGTTCTGCCTGCCTCTGCCTCCTGAGTGCTGGGATTAAAGGCCTGCACTACCACGCCTGGCTTGTTTTGTTTTTAAGACAGGGTCTCGCTGTGCAGCCCTGGCAGGCTTGAGAAGTTTGTAGAGCTTTTATTGGAAATAAAGACAGAAATGGGCTTGAACTTGAATGATGAAGAGGGGGCATAGACTTTTTTTTCCCCAAATTACTTATGTGGATGATTTTATTATTTGTGTGTGTGTGTGTGTGTGTGTGTGTGTGTGTGTGTGATGGGGCAGGGGTTTGCATGTGCCGTGGCATACATGTGGAGGTTTGAGGGTTACATGGGTTCTGGGGATTGAACTCAGGTCAACAGGCTCGTGCAGCAAACACCTTTACCTGTTGAGCCAGATTACAGGCCTCATATGGACCTTTTGAGAAACGGAGAGCTAACTGAAGGGTTTTGAGTAAGGCAATCACACTGAAGAGTACAAGAGCTATCATGGGTGCCCCAGGAGCCTATTTAATACCTCTCTAGAGTCCAGGACGGAATACTCAGAGGTCCACACATGATGGCTTAATAAGGTCGGACCTAGCTGGTGGCCAAGAACAGAGAATCAAGAGGCAACTGCAGGCAGCTGGGACTGGAAGGGACAGGGCAGAGGGCAGGGGCAGAGGCAAGTTTTGAGCCTCAAGCCTTGTTGAATGAAAGAGGTTCCCAGGGCACAACTTTAGAAAGTGAAGAGGATTCTGGGTGGGGGAGGGTCCTGGGGGCAGCTCTTTGTTGCATCTTCTTTGTCAACAGAACCCAGCTCTCTAGAGGGAAGCCAGGGTTGAATGTACCTAAGGTGGTGACGTTGCCAGAGATGGTGTGATCATTGAGGAAGGGGATCAAGGGTAGAACGCTTTAATGCCCATGGTCTGAGTGAGGAATAGAAAGACAGACTGCACAGAATCAAGGTCAGGAAGACTCCTAGATGCAGTATGCATAGGTCCAAATAAGAGGGCAGGATGGCCACAGATCTGTCTGTGGTGGGGTGGAACGGGGATGGTGTGGCCTCCCAGTGGTGGCCTTGGGTAGTGAAGGCCAGGTGCTGGGCTTGAAGGGGACATAGAAAGAAAGCTGGCAGTGACCGGCAGGGCAAGATTCTAGACCACATATGGCTCTACACTCCAGAAGCTTCCATGTGGCTCTTCAACCCTCCTTCTGACTGATCATGCTAGCCTGCTCTCCCTTACTGCACCCCAACTCCCACCTGCTCTAATCCTTACCCAGACTCCTACCAGAGACTATCACTCTCTGACCTGAAATCCTTCTTGGACCCATAAAACCTGGCACAGCACCTCTGCCTTGAACCTTCAGGGCCTGCATATGTTCCCTGTCCCTCAGCTCTACCTCCTCCTCCTCCTCCTGGCCATCCCAGTCCTGCATGCATCTAACAATTAGAGGGCACTTGTAGCATGCCAAGCCTGAGATCAACAGTCTCTTCTCCTCAGGGAGCTGGCAGGAGAAAGACCATAAACACACAAGTCACATGCCAAAGAGACAGGGCATTCAGTCAAAGTAGAGTCCACAGTAGTTAACGGACAACTCACTGAAGGGGCAGAAAAGTCCTCAGGAGGAGAATGAAGGAAGAAAGCCACTGCAAATACATGATGAAGGATGTGTTTGGCAGAGGAAACAACAAGGGCAAAGGTCCTGGGGTAGGAAGGAGGCCAATGTGACTGGAGCCGAAGGAGAAGGAAGTAGAGACTGACCAGTAGTGAGGCCCTGAGACCAGCAAAGGTTAAGATTATGTGGGGTCTTGAAAACCATTATATCTTCATCTTTTACTTGAGAGAGGGAGAGCCATGATACGGTAAGCATAGTAATATGCACCACAAATCTGCAAGATGACTTTGACCTCTGTTGAATAGACCACATACAGAGGTAGGACTGGGTCTAGTGTAGAGGCAGGGAAAATGCAAGAGGCTTTAGCAAGGAACCATAGGAAAAAGGGAGCTGTCCTGGACCAGGTAGGGGTGGAGAAAGGCAAAGAGAGCACAGCCACCAAGACTGGTCAGTCATATAAAGGTCACGGTAGGAGAGAGTGCTTCCAAGTTTGGCTCCTGAGCACCAGGCTGTCAGAACAGCCATACACAGCGATGGGCAGACCACACGGTGGAGATTCGACTCTTGATTTGGGACATCCTGAAGCTGGATGGGACTCCCAAGAGGAGATTCAGCAGACAGCGTTAGGGTTCTGCTATGGGATGTGAGCGAGGGGGTCCGCGGTATGAAGA